AACCTCCTCAGGATTAGGTTGTGGAAGGCGTGAGAGCCCATCAGCGTTTCCATGGCACTTAGTTCCTTTATATTCAATAGTGTAGGTGTGTGCTTCTAAGAACAAATCCGATCGCTGAAAACGTGCAGCTGCCATGGCTGGAACACCTTTTTGAGGGCTGAAGATGTAAAGTAGGGGTTGGTGATCTGTCTCTCAAGCGGTGTTTTACAGTTAGTTGCTAACTAGTTTGTGAACTACATTGCTGTAAAAAAAAATTGCCCTTTTCACTTTTCAATATAACTCTAATATAACCCCATCCCGGACAACCGTCATGTCACTAATGCTAATGATAGCTAGCCATCTAGTAAAGACAGTAACGTAACAGAAGTACAAATCCTCATTAATGCAAACACTTTATGTATATGTTTAAAGTTAAAAGCCCTCTTGCTTTCCAGTGAACTGAAGCCCTTGATTTCTTAACAAGGCGTGTGAAACATTTATAGGAACATGTGAGCCAGTTGTTGACTTGTTGCATGTTTATGATATTAATTTAATGATTTAAATATATTTATTTTAACTGCTGCCTTTTAAAAGCTAAGAGAAAAAGCCGTAATGATTCTGAATGTGTCAGAACAACCAGCAAAGAGACTGAACATTTAGTTCCATTATTTCAACACAGTATAACATCACACAGTCTTGTTGTTTAAAACACAGAATAAATCATTTCCAACTTTACTAAAACAAACACGGCCGGACTTATCGATACGATGGATGATGAATAACTTTAATAGTTACTTACTAATTAAGTCACAACAAACTGGCTCCCTAATCTTCAGTTTCATGCCTCTCCTGTCCCTGCCTGGTTAGGCTTAGTTTGGCTTAGTTTTTATATATAAACAATGTGCAGGAATGTGGACACCGCGACCACCACACAACAAAGCGCCGGGGCTTACTCAAGTGAGGACCTCCTCCAGTATCGGGATTTATGTGTCGCATGTCAGAAGGAGATCCCGGTGGAGTTAAATGAAAATGACGTAGATCTTGCTGGCACGCCAGGATTTAGGCCAGGTCGCGCCAGGTCGTGCACCACTCTTTTTTTTCAGCTGAGCGCGCCAAAGCACAAACAGGAAGATGGACAAGTTCAAGGGCAAGCTTTCCGAGCAAGTGTGCCTCTACAGGCATCTGTACAATCCTTCAATGAAGGAACACAGAGATGCCAGAATTCATGGCGAGAAATCGCCATGAATGTTGGAAAAGAGGAGGCCATATGCCGGAAAATTTGGAAGAACCTCCAGTCGGTAGCCTCTTGGACCGATTTGGAACCATCAAAAAGAGGTCGCCAGTTGTTCAACCTTTTTCTTCTTCTTCTAGTGCGTAGAAAATAGCAAAGTCGGTAGCCTTTCCTCAGTTGCGACCCTCTGTTCAGGGAAACTGCAACTAGTGTGCGACCACCACACGCAAGTCATAAATAGTTACAGCGCTCTGTGACGTCACATTGTCGTGCGACAGGTCGGGAACGGCGAGTCTACAAGACGCTTTATTCACTTCACCTGTCAGTGCTCACAATGTTAGGGCTGATCCATGTATTTGACAGGGAATAACTTTTAGTCAATGATGGTTACATGTCAGAAAGGTCTCATCTTCTTCAAGATCTATCTGTTGGTTTTTTTAAATGGATGTCAGTGAGATATTGTGTTGATGTTTACTGATAATACAAATTTTGAAGATTTTAGTACACTTATAGCAAAAGGTTATACAGAATTGGTGCAAATCTTTAAATGGCTTCAGTTGAACAAACCACAACAAGTCGTCATTTTGAGATAGTAAGTCACCACCCTTCCTAAGTTCCACCCCTTTTTGTTCTGTGCGCCAATAACAGTTGAGCAAGCCTCAGTCAGAACCTTAAGATAAGATGTACCTTTATTGATCCCCCATAGAAGAAATTCAAGAAACCTTGTTATGCTATGTGCTAGGCTCATCTATGTTGAAAAGACAACCACATTTTTTGGTCACATCTTAAGTTTGCAAATGTTAGCAAAACATTGATGTAAATAGATTAGTTAGCTTGTATTTTGCTAACATTAGCTTGCTGCTTTAAGATGTGCATATATATCACATAGTACAGTATCTAAGTACAGAAAAGGAGAAAGTGGATCAAGGCTTCTGAGTTGAGGTTCTGACTGAGGCTTGCCCAACTGCTATTGGAGCACAGCAAAAAGGGGCGGGACTTAGGAGAGGTACATTTAAAAAAAATTCAAAATGATGGTGGTAAGATAAAATTTGACATGGGGTCTTATATTTATTATGTTTTCATTACTTGGCAGAAGTGAGCATCCACATAGAAAGCCTTTAGAGGTAAAGGAAAAAACATTACATATTTTAAAAGTAATAGTAATAATGAATATGTACCAAAATAATCTCACTGACTTTGATGGTCAAGATAATATTCCTCAGGAACCTAATGATAAACATAAAGTGAGGAGACGATCTACAGGATCTACAATAATTTCAAGTACTTTACAACATTAAACATTAACTTAATCTTAAATAACAGTTGACATATTCATATTTTAGGTTCTCCAGGACTGTGTCCATTATTTTGTTGGTGCTCTACCTATCCAGTAAAGCAATTTGTATTGTAGCCGTGGACTATAAAGTCAGACATTTTACAGTATAATGAACAAGGTGAGGCATGTATTACTTGTTTTAAACTCAGTTGCAGCTGAAATCTATGTGATAAATAATGTGTAACTCATGGAAAGGAATAAACTCAAGTTGTCCAGTAGGTCCAGTGCCATTTGTTTGTTTATTCACTCCATTCTCTTAGATCAGATGATAAAATATTAAGATGATAATACAGTGTTGGTTTCTGAACAGAAGTCCCTATTACCTACATCCACTTACAGTCAGTAGACACTGACTGAACTTCGGCAGATGTAAAGTTTTATTTACACAAGAGCAGAAAGATCTGATATTTTTATTGGGGGACAATCGATCTCTGTCACAAAGAGTTACAGAATCAGATCTTTGGTACCAGGACAAAATCAGCGTCAGAGTGTGAATGGAGCTACAATAAGGTGACATTTAGGGCGGCAGGAGCCCAGACAGCAGAAAGATAGACTTGGGTAGAGAGAGATGAACTGTAGAGAGGCAGAAACTTTAGGGATTGGCCAATTCATCTGATGTCACAGAGGAAGGCAGGCTGTCCAGGGCTCCCATCTCTGTAAGCACACACAAACATGGATTTTTTAGAGGACATTACTATAGACATACGTGTCAGAAAAAAGGTTTGTCAGTTAAACCAATGGCAAAATCCTCAAAGCTATTACTTCCTAACCTACCAAAATCTGCCAGGTAGAGTTGCAACGGTATGATAAACAGTATGTTATATTTATCATCAGTTACCATGACCCTTAAAGGAATGAGAACAGAAATGAAGCATTTTACTTTTATGTATTAATAACTTTTTATTTCCAATGTTTGAACGGGTTGTAACATAACTTGTTGTAACTGACTTCCCCTGAGTTTACTGGTTGTCTATAGACTGATTTTATGGGATTTTCTACAAACATTCAAAGGTTCATTAGTATTTGGTTTCCCATCAACTTACTGTCACTTCTGAACGCAGAAAACTCTGTGGTCTTAAACACATCCACAGACGTCTGACAATCCTCACTTTCAAGTTAGTTCAAACAGAAGAGATAAACATACCTTTAAGTTTGAGGTATGACAGGAAGTCGATGACAGTGTGGATGATGTCTCCATCTGCTATTCTGAGGGAACCTGTGGAGGCAAAGCAACAAAGTACAGCCTGTTATCGTCGTCTAAAGTCGGAAGCACACTGTAAGGAGCTCTGGTAACAACATATGGGGAATTTAATATCTCCAGATACTAACATAATTTTGATATCCTCTTCAAATTGTCCAACATGACTGAAAACTGAACCAAATAATGCATGATATAAAATAAATCAGCGTTCTGGTAAAGTCCAGTGACCTAACGTTAGGCTGAATGCTTCTGAAAATGGCTTTAGGCAGTGAGAAGTTTGCTGGAGGGTCCCGAGGTTGTTGGAAGGGTTTTCAGGGAGGTTTTTAGAGTTTCGCTAGGTCGTTGCTTTTGTGTTTGCACTGTAAAACATATTGCAGGAATTCAGGGGAATAAACTTAAATGCTGTATATACTTTATATAAATTACAAGTAAATTCAGCTGTCTAGTTTTAACTTTTAGGCACATTTCAGAACTTGCTCTCTTTACTGGAAATGATGAGTTGAATGAATGTTCAGCTCATCAAATTAAGTTTAGAGAAATATGAACAGCATTAGCGGACTTGCCGGCATCCACAGTTTGAGAGTTAAAACTGGTTCTAGACAAACCTTTCACTTTTTCCGTCATTGCCAGGTCGGCAAATACAGACGTGACCGATGATCTGGTGGTTGGAATCTGCAACTACTTGCTAACCACTAGATGCCAAAATTCTAGGCACTGGTACTTGAAGTTGCCTAGTTAATGTTAGCTAAATCCTAGCTAACTAGCTAACTAATGTATATCAACTGTAAGCTTATTCAGTAGTTAGCTAGTGTTTGGCTACAGAACCAAACACAAACTAGCAAATCTACCTTGAGTGTTAGCTAGATAGATACAGCTGAAAGCTGGTGTAAGCAAAATGCTAGCTAACTAGCAAAGTCATTTACATCACTATTTAGTTAGCTAGTTAGCTAATGTTTTGGGGAAAAAATAGCTAAGATGTGACTATATTTATGTCACCTTTATCTTTTAACCATCTTTAAAATGTAGTTGTCTTTTCAACATAGCCTAGCACATAGCATACCCAAGGAAAAGGAAAGGAGGAAGTTGACCAAGGTTCCGCTATCTATCTAGGAAAAGGGGCCAGACTTAGGAATGGTTAATTAAAGTAGGTGGTTTCTATGGTGATTTTTTGTACCTGAAAACACAGTATTTTGTCAACTCAGACCTTTTTCAAAATATTTTTTGAATTCTTAAAAAAAAAAAAACGCAAAATGTTTCCAGCTCACTGTCGATATTTTAATAATAATAATCCGATAATACAAGTTTTGTCAACAGTGAGGTATTCAGAGGCACTATGGGGTTGTACAACAAATCAGATTGTATCTTTTAACAGTAGACAGTAGAAGACCGTCCTGTTACTGTGTGTGAGAGACAGACAGACCTGTTCTGAAGTCCTCCTCCTGGCCCATGTCCCTCTTGCCAGCCAGACCTGGCTTGTCTCCTAGTGTCCTGTGTCCATCTATTCCATCTGGACAATGAGGAGTGATCACAATCGATACAGTCTCACAAACAGCACATGGGTTACCTGAGTATTTGGTTACAGCCCTAAGCTCAATTCACTTGAAATTTAACTGGTAAATAATAAATAAAAATAAAACTGCTACAGCTACTAGTGTTCTTTCACATTTCATTTAGAATATAACTTCCAGCTGCTCCAGATGTTCCCATATTGCAGCTGTTAATAATTGTTTTAATATTTTGATATTAGAAAATGGTTTCTACTAAATTAACATAATAAGAACCAAAAACACACACATTTCCTTAATATCCCACTGTCTCAGAAGCATCATACATTAGACACACATACATACACAGTGCACACGTGGCACACCTCTACCCTAGTCCTCGTAAGAAGAGCTAAAGGACGTTGTACACTTGGTTATTTCAGCATGGTGTTTGGTTTGTAACTGTTTGGTTCAATTTCCAAACTTTTACGGACCACCTGCAGGGCTTGGCTCATGGAATTGCGGTAAAACAGAGATTTGAACAACAGAAAGACATTTTTAAAAAGCACACATTTAAAATACGATGGACTGTCAGTTTAAGCACAGAGAATAATAATGATGATGAAAAAAAATTCAAATAAAATGATGCAAAGTGCTTTGCTCAGCCATGGTGGTGGATATATATTTTCCAGCAAACTAATATCTTTTTTCAAACAGAACGTGAATATTACGCAGTGAGAAAGGGACATTTCTTCAGGATTTTTTTTACTTGAGGTAGATTTTTCTGAGCTTTCTCAGTGCAAATGAAGGCATCAGCCAATCACATTGTATGTGTCTGTGTGTCCAGTAGAGTTCTGCTAAATATTCCTTTTTCTCTCTCTGACTGAGTCCGTTTTTTACATCTATAATTGTCGTGTTGGAAGGAAGATGGAAAGAGTGTGCAGCCAATGTGGGGCAATAATCTGGCAAACAACCCCAACAGTCAGAAAAAGACTGGAAGTCTTTTAGCCCTGTGAAAAGGGAAAAATATGCTAGAAGAAACTCCAACATTGTCATATTTACATGTTGTATCTATTTAGCTAGCATGCTAGTCACCAATACATCTAAGTGTAGTTTGAGTTTTGTTTTTGGTTAAGAAATAGCGCTGAATGCTAATTGCTTCTAAAACCACAGTGCCTTATTAGCCCCAGTTTATGCCTCTCATGTGTTACTATTACGTTTGAGTTACAGAGCTAAGCATATATTATTCTGAAAAATATACCCAGCAACCTAGACAGTCTCTTACCAACACTTGACTCGACAGAATCCTTAAAGACTCCTCTAACCATCAAAATCATTAAAAAAACATTAACATATATGTGATCACTGCATAATTAAAACAGGATTCCAAAACGTCCTGGAAAACCTGGAAATTTAGAGACTAGTTTTCCAGTCATGGAAACATTGGTTAAAATGAGCAGATATGGTGGAAATAATCTATGCTGTCCTGGGATTGTTTTATTCTCTTTTATGCCCTCACTCAGATCACCTATACATAAAGCTAGATGTACATTTTGTTTGAAATTCGATTGCTGGTAGCATAATGACACTTAACCAGATGCAAAGCCGAATGGACTTTTCGTCACTGAGTCTATTTTTCTGGATCTCTTAGTGGAATACTCAGATGGTCATATCTACATGCACACAACTTACATTTGTTGTTTTCATTGATAAAACATGCACATTGATGTTAATTTCACACAGAACAACATTTTATCATTGACTAAAATGTGTCCATCCAGTAGATGATATGATATTATATGTTATATTGTTTGTGAGTGCCGTCCTGTACTGTGACGGAAAACTCCTGGAAAACTATTTCTGAAAAAGAGTGGGAACTTTAAACCATTTCCCAAATTGGGATTATTTTGTAGTTCTATTTTTCTATGGGCAGATGCAAGAGATGTCCAAAGTGAGGCTGCGGTATGTACGCATTCTGATGATTAAATTAATTCAAATGTATACTCACTAAAGAACAGAAAATATCTCCTCTATCAGACTGTTGTCTTTGACCTTTCAGCATTACTCACCCGTCTGTTTCAGTTATGTGTCTTTATTGTATAAGTGCACAACTCTGAGTGGTCATGATGTGTGATTATAAAGGAGGGAATTAAGTGTTTGACTCAGTGTAGGGTCTTCCTCATTAGTTAAAGTAGTGCTTGAGCCGGTACCCCCTGTGCCCTTTGTGTGTGTGTTGAATTAAAAGTCCAATTAAAATACACTACATTGGAGTGACCTGGATTTTAATGGTTTTGCTCCTATTGTCTCTATTGGCCCTTGTTATGGTCTTTCCATTTAATATTATCCTGCGATGTGAAATACCATTTAATCCATTATCCACCCTAATGTGTTTTATGGTGCTTTAAAAATATAAATCCATGTTTTATCATATATTTTCTTTTGAAAAGTAAAACTTCTTTTACGTTAACCTTATATATACAGTATACAAATATAGCCAACACTAGCCAGTAATATTTTTAGAATAGTTTTGACAATGGTACAGTTGTACAGTATCACCTTCCCAAAACTCACAAAATGGAGCACTAACATGGTTCTACAGCAGGAACAAGGCTCCTACATATCATGTGTCTGCAGACATTAATTGTTGTATTGCAACAGCCACTGCCGATTAAAAAAATTTCAGAGCCTGTACTTTTTCACTTTCACTTGAGTAAAAAATCTGTACTTCAACTTTTACCAGAATCTTTATAATATGTTAGTGTCTGTACTTCTATTTGAGTAAAAATGTGTGTACTTTTGCCACCTCTGCTGGTATCTAATCACTACTAATTAAAACTGTTTAATCTGGTGTTCCGGCTCACACTTCCTGTTCCCCCCAATCTGTGGACATTATGCCGCGTAATCCCACCTGTTCTTAACTAGCAGACACTCACAGAAGATCAAAATGAATTCCTTTGCTTAAAGCACAGAGAGAAATGCAGTGTTTGGATGCGTAAGCACAGGCAGCAGCAGAATGGCATGCGTCCTCTCCTGATGGGTGACAGAAGCAGCTAATAGGTGGGATGTTTGGACAGAGCAATTCCTGGCCTGACACCAAGGCCCTGCAGCGGCCGTATGTTTCTATCTTACATTGAGTGACCAGCTCGTCTCTGCCTCTGGCACTGGGAGAATCCTTTATCTGAATTAGGT